TCAACATGGCATCGACCAAATGAGCAAAAAAGCTTGTAGCAGCTGTATCTTGATAATGAGTCATATTTCTCTCTAAAAGATGGCATAGCAGAAGAACGTGTAAGGGCTTCTTTGAACACTGTTTTTATGCACCATTTCTTCACTAAATCGCCTATCTTTTTTGTGAGAAAGCATGACGGAAAAATTAGGACATGGGATAAGGTCACAGTCTATCTATCTTTGAATAACTCGTCTCCGCTTGAAAATTTATTCCTCAGTAGAGAGATATTGTTCTCAATAAGGCCCAAAGGATAATTTTTTCCAGGAATATATTTGTCAGCCGTTGCAAATCTTTTGTCAAATGTTTGCTATCCGCTAACCTCATACTTTTGATAATCATTGGCTGTAAAATTCCAACCTTAGCCTTGTAACTATCGTTGGAAAGAAAATTAAGCAAAGAGCCAACATAAGTTGGCTTCCAATACACATATCTTCCTAACCTACCTCTTTCTCTAATGATGCGGACATCCAGGAAAGGTAAGGACTTATTCTCTTCCATTTCCATCGTGAACCTAATGTTCCTTTCACGCTGGTTGAGTGAAAATATGAAACTATCTCAACTTTCCTTACCATGAGTTCAAATGACAAAATAGTCATCCATATATCTAACGAACAATTTGCTGGTTAGAATTGCCTCTTGCAGGAAGTATTCCCCCCGTCTTGCCATATTATTGTTCGCTAAGATGGGAGACATGTTAGGTCCCATCGCTAATCCTTGTTTTATTCGTATAACTTACCATCAAAGATAAAATAGGTGCTATTCATGGATAGGTTAATAAGTCTAATAATGGAGGCTACACTCAGCCTTATTCCTTGTGTTATCTCTGGATGCTCCTCCAGAGTTTGTATCAGAGCCTGAATAGCTCCTTGGACAGGAATGTTTGAGTACATAGAAACAACGTCAAAACTTACTAGCCTATCACCTTCTTAAATTGTCTGTTGATCTTGCAATTTCACAAAGTCGTAAAAAGTTTTAACTGAATATAGCCAATAATTGACAGAGTTCCTTATTTGTATGCATAAAAACCGTGAGATTTTATGCATCACGCTTCCTTTATTATTCACAATTAATCTTAGAGGGACACCCTCTTTGTGAATCTTGAGGAGAACGTCAGCCGTGGAGGACCTTGCATCTCTCTGGAGCAGTGAATTCATTTTCCACTTCTCGACCTGATCATCACTTACGCATACCTTAAGGGCATCGTTTGGCCTAGTCTTAAGTCTTTCTGTTGGGTCTCCCAGTAAAGGCCTATACGTGTCATTGTAATTTCAATGAACCAGCATCTTGTCTACAGAACTTGATTTAGCCATGACTACCACTGCTTACGATTAGATTATTATTGCACAGATATCTCGAAGCCCTTTTAATATGACAATTTTTCTTAGACGGTATTACATGGTCAGGCAATCTATTGGATAAGCTAATTAATTCAACAAGTATTTCCACAGAAGGGTTTAAACTTAAACTTATTTGAAGATAGACCTCAAAGATGCTTGTTATCAGATATCAGTACACCCAACACACATCTTCAAAACTGTTGTTACTATCCTTTTTAGCCATTTCAAGTTCACCACAATGCCGTTTGGTCCCAGTTACGCCGCATAAACTTTCCAGTGTTTGATGGATGAGGCCACACTAGGCTCAGATAGTCTATTCGTTTCTATAGGCGACACCCTCATTACCAGCAGTGATAGTTAACAACATCAACAACATATAACGAATTTGTTTCAAAAACTATTCTGCCGTAATATTTTAATAGCTCCTGTAAAGTGCATTTTTGTCAGGATAAGGTAAGATGCATAAGATATTTTCCATTGCCACGTACTGTTACATCCCTAAGTGCTTTCCACGGCATGGTGAATTTCTATGGTTGCATCATTCCCAATTGTGCTGACATCCAGAGCCCACTGGAGGAAATTGTTTTATCTGAGGTCTTCCTGCTAACCAAGGAGGCGTTGGCGAACGCCACATTACTGGCACACCCAAATCACGAGGCCGCGTTACATCTCGTGACGGACGCCTCTGGCCAGGCATTAAGTAAAGCCCTTTATCAAGTCGTGGATAGATCTTCGCAACCGTTTTCCTTTTTTCACACACACTAGGATTCCCCGAGACTCTTTATAGCACTTTCGGCAGAAGACTTTTAGCTGCGCACTCCTCTATATAGTGTTTCAGCACATGCTCAATAGTTGGCAATTTCATATCCTCACTGTCGAAAAACCTATTTGAGGAGCTTTCACAAACACCTCTGACAAGTACTCACCAAGCGAGATCTGCCATCTTGATTATTGTTGAGGGGAATTTCACTTTGTATGAACGTACAGGAAGAAGAGATTCGTTGGTCGATCTCACCAGTTGAAGACTGGTGAATCTCGTCGTACGATAATCATGTTGACGCAGTCCGCAAGACTTCCTTCTTCGTTTTGGTTGAAAACATGCTGAGCTTTCGTCCATCATTCAGTGGACATCATTAGAGCTGGGTCTAATTCCTGTAAAAGTCTCACGTTAAAACTAGGGCAAGCAGACTATCCGGCTCTATCTTACATCTTATACAAACTCAATTAAGCAAAGTAAAATAAAAAACCTAGATAGATATAGAGTGGTTTGGCAAACTATCCTTCATACTGGTCCTTTAACTTTTGCTTGAGTGTGTGCGTGTTAGCGTCTCTACACAATACCTGTCCTAAATCAGAGTTGACAAAAGGCTAATCTTAGATTCCGATCCTCAGGGCCTAATGACCCAAGAGAAAGCCTAGACCGAGACTGCGTAAGTCTGTAAGCAAGTATGGTTGAGATAATGAGATATGAGTTTGCAAGCATAAAAATCAAGTTACGAAACCACTTGTCCTAACCTTTCAGTCTACGTTCATTAATGTTCAACCC